AAATTCACAGTAAATTACTGGCTACTAGTTGCATTACTTTCACAGTAGATTACTGTATGTAAATTTACAGTAAATTACTGTAAACAAGTTACATTACTTTTACAGTAACTTACTGTGTAAGAGTCCATTATATTACTGTGATTTAGCAGTATGCTCCTGTAGAATTACTGTATTTAGCGGCAGGATATGGTGTGGGTAGGAGTTTTTATAATGGCTCGCGCGCATATGGAGTGACGCCATCTTTCCCAGTGTGCTGCTGCTGCTGCGCGAGCGCGGAGTCCTCGCGCACACGTTCACTCTCAGCGGGAGCTGCCGCGCGCTGCGGGTCGTTCTCTCAGGTTTTCCTCAACGGATTGTCGCCGTTATTCGTGTTTAAGTACTGAGAAGCGAAACGGGAATATACAGCGTTTGACACAGGTAAGTGTTTTCCGACAAAATGTGTGGTTCGTTATCGTGTGGAATGTTAGGAGGGAATGTCTTTCTGCAGCTGTGGGGAAAGAGGAGGCGAACCAGCCAGTGGAAATATTAACGTTCAAAATCAAATACCATTTACTCATATAAACGCGGATTTGTTCGACTATAATACTATAAGCGTTTTAATGAATCAGGAAAGGTGTCTTTAAAGCTCCGAGTTAAAACATGTTGTGTCTTTGCTGCTAGCTTGGTTACGTTAGCATTTTAGGGCTGGAAAAGTGTTTTGTGGAGACCATGTCAAATCCTCCCCTAACTCCACTGGATCTCAGACTAACAAATTCATTTTTTTTACATTAATTACCTCCTCTGTGAATTCTCTCTGTAAAATTCAACAGCTGAAGTTGGTTTCGTCTGACCGCAATCTCGAACCCGTGTTTAAGTCGGTTGTGCGGTTCGAAAGTTAGTCTGTGGTTAACTAATATAAACTAGCTGTATTTAAGTTGACCTTCTAAGCTCTGTTTGCGCGTTACTGAACCACAGATGTTTTTTTTTTTTCCCAAAGCTTGTTTTGTGACTTTAAAATTGGAAGGATATTACGTTTGGGGTAACATTTTCAGCTCCGATGCGAGGCCATCTGTATCACCTTGAGTTCTAAATGCTTATGCTATTAGTACAGTCACGCGCTAATAAATACTCCAAATATGACCCATCTTAAGAAACAAACAAAGGCATTTAAAGTGTTTGGCCGTTGAGAGGAAGTCGAGGAGGAGCTTGAGTGAAATCTGACTCCGCTGGAGCTCGTGAAGAGGGGGGGTGGGGATACCCATACATCTCTCCCTAGCTCTTAACAATACACCCAACTTACTTGAGCTTTACTACAATATTCAGTGAGTGAAATTATTACATTCTCAAATGACTTTACTGCAGTCTGCCTTACCTTCTGTAAAAGTATGGGTTCATATTCAGTGTTTAAGGGTTTGTTTTTTAGCGCAGCATGCCCTGCAAGCACAACTGGCAGTAGATTTGTTAATAATTCACGCGGCTTAAAAAGACAAGCAAACATATGTGCCTTTTTCCTCCACCTCTGCCATGGAGTCTAACTGAAGGCAGTATGCATATCTTCCTCACTTTTTCATAGACATTAGGCATTCTATAGTCTTATTTAATCAATGGTTGAAGTAATTCCCATTGGGGTTTTTTTATCTATAAGATTTTGTGGGTGTGATTTGGTAGCTTCTGAGAAATGAACATCAGTAGGTATACATTGGAAAGAAATATTTCTGCTGCTTGTTCAATTTACTTGATTAAAATGAGCTAAAGTGACAATTGCTTAACATTTGATCAATTTCAACGTGATTAGTCCAATTCATTATTTAAAATAAAAGTTTATTTAATCCATTTCTGGTTGGATTACATGAAGAATTTTGGTTGCATTATCTGAAACTGCATGGGTGGAGTTCCCAGCATGCTTTGCATAAGACTCAATTAGGAGAGAAAATGTATTATATGCATTGATATATGCATTGATTTAAAGGCAGAGCCCTTTTAGTGTTAATGTTCAGTTATGCTGGACATTTAAAATTGAGTAAAAGAAGTCTGTACTTGTTTACATTTAATTTTACGTAAAGTGATTTTGCTTCCATGTGAAATTTGCTTAAAATAAAAAAAAAAAAAAAATTACTTACGGTTACAATTACAAAAATGATATTAATTTGAACCTATCGGAGTTAATAATGCTTGTAATAGTTGTCAAACATCTCCACACATTCAGTTTGACAGTCAAGAACTTCTGGAAAACTTTTTTTGTTGTTGCTTTCCTAATTGGTGTATGAATCCTCATTTTCCTTTATCTATGGTCTAACATGCAATGTTCTCCCACTGTTTAATTTTGAGTCTTCATGCCCAAACTCTCTAAATGGAAGCGTCTGAGGGTAGTCATTTCAGTTGTACAGAGTGGCTTCAGTATGTTTTTGGATCTGGGTGAGCTATATGAAGTCAGAATGCACTGAACCAAGCTGTATTTGGCGTGTACGTGCACATGTGCGCAGGCTCATGCTGTTTGAGCATCTCTCATCACAATTGACACATTTGGAGCAGATGTGTAGTATGGGATGTTCCTGGGAGCTAGCAACTAAGATCTTTTGAAATGCTGCAAACAATAGGCAGATCTCTGAAACTGAATGTGGGTGTTGAAATCACTATCTAAGCTGCATGGCCCTGCTCACAACAGGCACTTAGCCCAAGCTATTTGGGTGGTATTTAAACTCACATTCTGTCCAAATGCCAAGGATTACAAACAAATACCTCGGTCTTCTCAAGCCTCCTCAGGTTTCTTTGGAGGAGCCCGTTGTTGACTGTGGAATAGGCACATGGTTTGAGAACTTTTGGTGGTTGATCTTTCGATTGAGCTTTCAAAATACAGAGCTGTTGCAGTTAGGGCTGGGCGATTTTCCCGATTTTATTGATTAATTCGAATTTATTGTTTTGCCACGATTTTATTTAGTAGAAATCGAGGAATCGCGATTTTGAATAGAAATATGACCAAATGTTAGAATTAGACACTTTGACAATATGCCGGTGATAACCGTAAAGAGAAAAGAACGATCCAAACGCATGTCGGCGCACGTGATTAACCACTCACGTGTGACGCGCTCGGTGAAGGACTATAAATTTAGCGCTAGGCGTCATTCACACAGCGCTTTTGTGTTGACAAAGATGTGACGCGGTCAGTAGAATAGGTAAAACATGCAAGAAGATGGGCGTGAACTATTAACTTGAGCGTAGACTTGTGCCGGTATTCGGTAATGCAATATAACACGGTAATGAATATGCACGATATTGTTATCGTGGGCACTTCTAAATACCGTGAATATATTACAAATTATTCAGAATTTTAAATGCATTTTAAGAATACTTTTCCCATCAACTGGTCAAAATGCATAACACCGCCGTATGCTGCGTGAAAGATGCGTGCGCACTCTGACGTAAACAAGCGAGGACGAGAAGCACATGGCGGAACATGTGAGAGACGCTCTGGATGAAAGCGCACTTTCACTCTCTGACAGCAGATGGCACTAAACTGCAGAAATAATAATAATTCATTTAAATGCAGCCGTTACCCCGGAAACCCTGTAAACAAAACAGCTGCACTACTTTCTGTTTCTGAATCGTGTTTAAATGATTTAAACAGCCATTCAGATTTGTGTATTTGCTATGATGTTCATCACAGCGCCAAATACTTAAAAATTTAGACTTAATAGCCTATTTATTTTCAATCTTTTTTTACATTTTAATCTGGACCACAACATGCCCTAGATATTGTTTGAAAGTGTTTTGATTCTTTATTGTTCGGTCACACTTTACATTAGGGCTTCATTAGTTAACATTAGTTAATTCATTAGTTAACACAAACTGCCAATGAAAAATTCTTCTGAACATTCATTAATCTTAGGTATTCCAATATTTAATAACAGGTTGTTAAAATCGAAAGTTACAACTGTTATTTAATGAGCTAACATGAACTAAGACTTGTATTTTTTAAACAAAGATGAATAACTTCTGTAGCAAATGTAGCGATTGCGCATTGTGAATGTTTAATACATTAACTAAGGTTAACTAATGAGGTCTTATTGTAAAGTGATACATATTGGTCTTTATAGTTCTTTTGCACTTTAATCTGTGTAAAACTTTTAACTTTATAAATTGCTTATATTTAAATGAATATAAATGCTTTATTGCATTTAAAAGTTGAGTTATTTTTGTTGTAAGAAAAAAGTTATTAAACCTGTTATACTGTATTATGACAGCACTTTTTTAAAACTACATTTCAATATCGCGATAATACCGTATACCGTGATAAAAGCCTTAGCAATTAATCGCAACATTAAAATTTGAGATTCGTTGGAAAATGAGGTGATATTAAATGCATATTTTGAGAAATGAAAGACCTTGCGTGCATGTAAACCTATTGTAGGAGACTCACAAAACAATATAAGGAACCTTAAAAATGGTATAATTGGGGCACTTTAATGCAACGTTTCATATAGACTTTGAGGTCTAATAGAGCTCCAGCTAGGAGGGTTGAACTGACTAATGACAGAAGAATGGTGGGTTTAGTCCAAGCAAGGGCTGTGACGGTATGGGATTTTTCTTACCGCGGTGAAGACGAAACAAGTCACCGTGGTTTGGCGGTTAATCGCAACCCCCCCTCCCACCGCGGAAATATAATTATTTAAGAACGCATGCAGCTTGTAAATGAACATGGAAGTGAATAATAATAAAGCCGTCTTTATTAAAACAGCAAATTGTATGAACTATAATCAAATAAAATTACATTTATTTTAAACTTTTTTTTTTAGATATCTTTTGAGTTTAATAGAAATTATGGAACAGTTTTTAATAATTTAACAGCAAATTATCATTAATATTATTTAACTTAAGGCTACATTTATAACAACATTTTTAAAAGTGGAACATAAAAGTGTTTGAATCTGATTTGGCTTTTTCAAAGTGCAACATAAGGGAACATCAGGAACATCATTGTTAAACTACTGGGCCGCTTAAGTGAATCGGCAAGTCCTGCTGCTTTATTTTTCGGTCTTCGAGTTTCTTGCCAGGAAAACCAACATGTTCACTTTGTCTGGTTTCAGAGAAGATCTTAACGGAGTGACAATGTTGCCTTCCGCACTGAATACACGCTCCGAGGGAGCGCTCGTAGCGCATATAGTCATATATTTTCTGGCAACTTTCGAAAGAAGAAGCAATCGAGCCTGATTATCCCGCCACCAGGCAAGCGGATCAGAGTGCAGATCGAGGGCTTCCTCCTGCAAATACCTTGCGACTTCAGTGTCTGCACGGATTCTTTTTGGGACCGGATTGGAGGACTGTGCTTTTCTCTTTCCAAGCAGGTCTGCAAAATTCTTTTTTTTTTCTGGAGGCGATGGTGCACTTCCTTCTCCCTCTCCAGCCGCCGAGGTACGCATGGCACCTTCTCCATCCCCGCCATCACTCCGCTCATCGGGCATTGCCAGCATCTCCTCCAGGAGCGCATCTTTAAACATAGGCTAGGATCAGCTCATTGTCTGCCGCTGGCCGCTTGGTCGTTACTTAAAAAAAATAAATAAATAAAAATAAAAAATAAAACGTACATTTAACGAACAAAAAAATGCTCCAAATGTTTTTCTAAATTAACTTTATTAAAAAACTAAATATCACTTTTCTATCTCACAAAAAACTGAACTATTTTAATAGCTGAAACAGTTGTATAAGCTGTTTTGGGAGAAGGGGGAAAAAGACAGTCTTGGGCCTATATTTGAAGCCCGTGCAGGGCTCTAATCTCTGTTGTTTTCATCTGTGAGCATGCTATTGATATATGCATTTTACCATTTTGTTGTTTAAAACGTGTGACACATTCGTTCTAATTATGGAACAGTTTTTAATAATTTAACAGCAAATTATCATTAATATTATTTAACTTAAGGCTACATTTATAACAACATTTTTAAAAGTGGAACATAAAAGTGTTTGAATCTGATTTGGCTTTTTCAAAGTGCAACATAAGGGAACATCAGGAACATCATTGTTAAACTACTGGGCCGCTTAAGTGAATCGGCAAGTCCTGCTGCTTTATTTTTCGGTCTTCGAGTTTCTTGCCAGGAAAACCAACATGTTCACTTTGTCTGGTTTCAGAGAAGATCTTAACGGAGTGACAATGTTGCCTTCCGCACTGAATACACGCTCCGAGGGAGCGCTCGTAGCGCATATAGTCATATATTTTCTGGCAACTTTCGAAAGAAGAAGCAATCGAGCCTGATTATCCCGCCACCAGGCAAGCGGATCAGAGTGCAGATCGAGGGCTTCCTCCTGCAAATACCTTGCGACTTCAGTGTCTGCACGGATTCTTTTTGGGACCGGATTGGAGGACTGTGCTTTTCTCTTTCCAAGCAGGTCTGCGAGATTAATTTTTTTTGAAGGAGGAGATGGTGCACGTCCCCTTCTCCCTCTCCAGCTGCTGAGGTATGCATGGCACCTTCTCCATCTCCGCCATCACTCCGCTCATCAGGCATTGCCAGCACCTCCTCCAGGAGCACATCTTTAACGTCATCTCCGGGGTTGATGTCCCTGTATCTTGGATCAATTAATGTGGCCTTTGCCAACAGTTGCTGTGTTGCAGGTGCACTATATTTGTCTTCCATGATGCTAACTATTTTTCTTTTTAGGTTGCGCGTCAACTCCGTGTCTTCCTCGGTTGGGAGCAAAATATCCTCAGATAATAACCGTAGGACTGGTTTAACAGAGGACGCTGTAACTGTCTTCTCGGAAGACAGCGCATCCGTAAAATCCGTGACCACCTTCAGCGCTGCATTAACGGATTCTAGGACTTCGATGTATATATTAAAGCGTTTTTTAAATTGTACCGAATTATAAAATAAAACGCAAATTATAATCTGGCCTGTTTTATGCTTTTCCTTATTTTTATATTTTAGACATCCATCAGTTATGGTGATGAAAAAAAATTACTCGCCATCTCCTCATTGAATGTGCCTTTAGAGAGAAATGCACGGATTACATAATGAAAGAGTTTCTATTTTCGATTTGAATGATTTCGTTTTGAAGTAGTAATTTTAAAGCTTTCTATATATTTTTACCATGTCTGTGAGGCAATTCGCTGAGTTTAGGTTCATCACTGTGAAGCACTCCTGTTCAAGCCAGAAACGGCAGAAAGTGTTTGTTTTCTTTATTTTATAAAAGCACAACGTTTGGTTGATATTGTGAGTGGACACAAATAAAAGTAGACCCTTTACAGTTTAGAATGACGTATTACTCTTACCTTTATAAGCAAAAATGACGGCATATTCTAAGTTGTTTCCACTGTTAGAAAAAAATGCAAGTGATCACCCTGGTGCCTCCATGTGCTGCAGAGCACGTTTTAGCTTCCACTCTTCGCACGAACGATTAGATATGCGTCTAACAGCGCACATTTATATAGGTTAAACATTTAAACTAACATTGTGATATGCTTGAACTGTTTTATATATAGATTTTATTTTAGGCAAGTCGTGATGATTTGAGAAGGCTAAATTGATCAAACATAGGCTATGATCAGCTCACTGTCTGCCGCTGTCCGCTGGCGTTACTTTAAAAACCAAAAACTTACATTTAACGAACACAAAAATGCTCCAAACGTTTTTCTAAATTAACTTTATTAAAAAACGAAACAAAATATAATCACTTTTCCATTACATACAAAACTGAACTATTTTAATAGCTGAAACAGGTTGTATAAGCTGTTTTGGGAGAAGGGGAAAAAAGACTGGCTAGGGCCTATATTTGAGGCCCGTGCAGGGCTCTAATCCACTTCATCCAATGCTGTTTTGTTCACTGTTGTTTTCATCTGTGAGCATGCTCTTGATATATGCATTTTACCATTTTATTGAGTTTAAAACGTGTGACACATTCATTCTGCTCTTACTGTTCATTCGTGCAGAACTAGTCCAGGCTATTGTTTTGTGATGCAGACGTTAGCTTTTCCTAAGAACGCTGAGTCTGAAATTCTACGTATGCGTAACATAGATTTGTGTGACAGGTTCCAAGTCAAATTCAGGCTTCGAGTAATGAGTGCTTATTTGCTGCTCATTGTTAGTAACCTCTCTGTTAGAGTTCTATGCGGACCATGCATCTTTCTTCCCACCCTTTTTCTATGTGGCCAACTCCACCCATATTCCACCTAGTAGAGGTACCAAAACATTGAGATTGATTTCAGATGTGCATGTTGGCCAGGCAGTGAAAAACGCATGCATGTGGTTATTAGGGTTGGGTTTTTCATGCCCAAGCCAGTATGTCTGTGAAATAAAGAAACTAGTGGAGTTCAGCTAGAGTAAAATTTAGAAGAGCTAACCCAGCAGCTCTTCATGATTGTATTCACACTGTCCATTCAGATGATTGTATAACCCAGCGACTGAGCATCTGGAAGGGAAAACCGATTGTCTAAATACATCCAGCCTGACCTCATCAATGACCCAGACTAACCTGTAGTTTGTTAGGACTTATTTCCATGCATCATCTTGACTGACTGTGAGCAAGAGGACTGTTTGAGTGTAGCTTGTGTGTGGGATTTCTTGGAGGGTGAGGCTCAGTTGGCACCTCATGTTGCATGCAACAGAGAGCAGTAATACTGCAGGGGGGTTAAGGCCTGTATGCTGCTGGTTTTATCTCTCCTATTGACTCCAGATGTTGTGAACCGTAGACCGAGCGACTGGCTGACTGCTGTGAAACTCTTGGCAGCCCCAGGCAGAGTGCCACAGCAGCACTGTTTTACACATCCCCTTATCAAACACACTTTCCATGCTCTGCATTCACAATACTGATATAGAACAATATAGAGCTGACATGTCATTTTGAGACAGAGCTGCACAGAATTGAGATTTTTATAGGCTTTGGTGTGTCATTTCCATTCTCCTCCTGGGCCGGGGGTTTGTTTTGGCACCTGTTTTGGTCCAGGTGAGATTTCCATTTGTAAAAACAACATGGCCTGCTTTTTGGCTTCACTATTGAGCTGCGGTGCAGTTAAGTGTAAAGTAGGCTATACTGACTTGGTGTCTTTAGAGAGGCAAGTCCCATTATGTCTGTGTAGTTGAGGTTTGTCCATAATAGACAGTGTGCAACACAACACACATCTGTATTCCAGTCTAGCCTTTCCTTACTTGACCTAATTCAGCTCCTGAACTTGGAAGAGGCTGCTTTCGAAAGCCAAATCCTGACAAAAGTGCATGCGTGAGAGCCCAATGAACTGGAAAAGTTATTTTTCTCTGAATAATTGCCAGGACCTTGCTGCGTCATAAAGCTAAACATCCTGTGGTGCTGTTCCACATGAATTAACAGCTCCAGAACAGGAACAGCAAAATGTTGACAAGGACTAGCCGAAACGGTCTACCGAGTGACCTTTCCACATGCTGCAACTTGTTAGTGTTTTGTAAGAGCTGTTTGACTGAGAGGAACAGTATGTTTTGCTAACCAACACAATAGAGAGACAAGGGCATCCAGTTTTGGTCTCAAGGCTACATGTGAATGTTGGACGTCTCGGAGAGGGGTTGCATTCTGCCTGCTGACTTGGAGAGGGGTGTTGTACTTCTGAATAAAGGAAGTGGGCTTGGGGCTTGTGTTATGGTAATTTTGGAGGAGGCCTTACAAAAGGAAAGGAGACCGGGGCCCCCTAGACTGAAACACTGAATTCAATATTGCTTCAGTAGTTGTTAACTGCTGACATTGATGGGCAATCGACAAACTAAATCATGCGCATTTTGAAGCTGTTGTGATGGCTTTTCGTTTCTGATGACGTTTCTGGCTGAGCACATTATTGAAGGTCATCTAAACCTTTAGCGCCTCTTTTGCTAGAGAATGTGTTAAAAACCCTCATGCCTTGGAGGAGATTGAGGTTGGATGTTTGGAGTGACACTAATAGTTTAAGCTTTATTGTCATGCTTGTGATGGAGTGACTCCCCCAGGCTTTCTATATGGATATTTTTTTATATTTCCCCCCCAGAAATACATCTCATTGTGAGGCCTGATATATTTAGGGCTGCCCTTCTTTTATTGAAGCTTTTTTTTAAGTAGATGCAAAAATAACTTTTAATTTTCAGTACCTGCAGTAATAGCAGGAAATTGTACAGCTATGAATTTTACAGCTATGGACACTTTTTGATAGAAAAAGCTAATGTATGTTTTGAAACCGATTTTAGTCATTTGAGAGCATTCGAAGTTATAACTGATACTTTCAAGGCACCAGGAATGTCAAGTTATTCTCACAAAATCAACAAAATGTCATCTATGTCAGCTGGGTATACCTTGATGTCATTTACATGTTTTATATACTTCAGTTAGGGATGTTCATTTTGGTTATTTTTCCTAACCAACAACTGATGCTCGTTAACCGATTGTTAAATGTTAATCAACAAGATGATTTTACATTAGAATTGAATTAAATTGGAAAGGTTAAGTGTCTGTGACCCGTTAAAAATACTAACATTTGTTTCCCGGGGATTAATTTTACATGTGCAAAAAGCAGCAAACAACAGAACATGAGGATTCACATGGTCATAATCACATCACGCACCTGCAGCGCTTCTGCGAGCGGAGAAAAACATAATAAAGCAAGGCTATATATATATATATATATATATATATATAGGCCTATACAGGGCTCGACAGTGCGACCATTTGCGACTGAAAACTACTACGTGCGACTATGAAATTTGTTTCTAACAGTTTGTAAATGTGATACTGATTTAATACAATTCAATAAACAAGAAGTTAATATTAAGTGACTTACATTGTCTGACTATAACACTATTGTCTGATTTTGCTCTATTTCGTCATCAAAAATAGTTTAAAACAGACACAGTGGAGCCGCTGCTTATCTCCATTCAAACACAGCGGTGTTTCGTTTATGAACGTTTTTTTTTTTTAAACGAATCTAGTGAGTCAGTGATTCATGATTAACCATTCATAAAGACAGTCACTTGATTCATTCTTGAATGAATCAGCCGTTCGAATGAATCAATTGAATTAATGATTCAGTGATAAAAATCAGTGACTTGCCGCCACCTGCTGGCAGTTTTAGTTTCATTTTTAAAGTATCTTTTCAGTTATTTAAATCATTTAATATTTCTATATTCAAAATTTTATATTTAAAACATTAATATCATCATGGATTTATGGATTTAATTGCACTCATTCCACTTCTGAACCTCATTAAATGTCTGAAAGTACATCAAGCCACTTTTGTGTTCTTCTGTGCCACCTCTACAAATTAATTTTGTTAATACTGATTTCATTTGATTTTTAACTTGTTTCTTATTCTACTCTTATTCTGTCGTTTTAATTACAATTTTTAAAAAGCGTATAAAATATCATTTTTAAGAATTTGACAAAAGATGACAATTTTAATAAAGTTAGAGGAGTCAAATATTACCTCGTAATGGGAAGGCTACTTTTTGATAACATTTTGGATTATTGATTAGAAGGTGCTCCTAAAATTTTGAACGTGCTCCTAAATTTTTTAAGTTAGGAGCACAAGTGCTCCTAAAAAGAAAAGTAAGCGTCAAGCCCTGGGCCTATACGAGAAACATATTTGTACTTAAATAATAAATTAAGAAAAATAAAGAAACTGTGCAACAAGTAGCCTAGTATGCAGAGTTTCGATTCATTTTTGTGCTGCGTGAAAGGAAACAAACGGCAGAAAGCGGCATCCTATTTTTCTTTAGGCTTATTTTACAAAAGCACAAAGATTTGTTTTTATTGAGAATGTACACAAATAAACCTTTTACAATTCAGATTCTTTGACTTAAGAGTAGTCAAAGAATGAGTTGCTTCCATTGTTAGAATGAAAATAATTCAAGTGATTGCGCCAGCGCCGTATACGCGCACAGCTTGACAATGCAGCCTGTTCATTATCATAATAAAATAGTCAGTAAAACATATGGAAAAAAAACTATGTAGTAAGAAAATATGTAGTAAAATCTGTACCGTTAAGTGTTATCACAGTACCGCCGTGATGTTATGCAAAACATTTTGTTTTACATGGATATTGGAACGCGAGTGAAGTAGGCTACATAATAAATAATAATTTGCCATTCAAATACATCGCGAATACGGAAACATTTGATTTTGTGTCGAATGAGAGACCCAACGTTGGTTTCAATTTCGTTTTAGCCTAAATTAATTCGTTTTGGCTCGTCTTTTATATAGTTATAGCTTCTTATATTTTTAAACACTGTTACTTGAAAGGATTTGTTGTGGAGTGAGGGGAACTAAAATAGCCTAGCTAAGTTTTAGGGGTTCTCCGGTCAGGTTTTTTGAGGCCGATCACAGAAAGCAGTATCTGCCGATACTGATCTTTTTAAAGCCTTCTTTTTTATCATTTATTAGGGATGCACAATGTTCGGCAACCAAAATTATTCGACCGAAAATAGCAAAAGACGCTCCTTCGGTGTTCGGCCGAATAAGCAAAAAGACAGAATAAATTGTACCGAAAAATGATATGACGCGATCAAATAGCAACCTGCGCAGAGGGAGAGGCGTGCACTCTTTATTATGAGGCACACACGTCAGTAGTGTGGAAGCATTTAAACTGTCGGAGAAAGACGCAAAACTCATTACAAGCAACTGTTTAGGGCTGCATCACATATCTTCAATGAGAAGAGGAAGGGTTGATTGTTGCTGGTTACTGTATGACGATTGAAATCGCAAAAATGGCTTTTTTGTAATTGATTTTTTTTTTCTCTTTGAAAAGCAAGACAAAACCGTAAAAAGCACATTTTCAGCAGCTTTCACACAGGAGTCCGCTACTGATCCATGGCTGTTTACCACAAACACAACATTTATCCATTAGTTTGATTTCAAATCCAAACATTGTCACTGAAAATGCTTTTTCATTGTAATTTTTTTTTTTTTACACAGTACAGTAATACAATCTTTCACATACATGTTTAAACTCAATAAATATAAGCAACACATTATTCAATGCTTTTTACTTTTGCATTTACTTCTAGATTTATATATTAAGTTGCTCAAGCAAGTGGCAAAACATTTAAACTACTTTGCTTACGTTATCTATTCGATTATCTCTTTTTATAATGTTTCATGTGCAGCTGACTTGATGGAGCTCGACATGGCCATGGAGCCGGATCGCAAGGCTGCAGTCAGCCATTGGCAGCAACAGTCTTACCTGGACTCAGGTATCCACTCTGGGGCCACAACCACTGCCCCATCCCTGAGCGGCAAGGGCAACCCAGAGGATGAGGATGTGGATAATCAGATGCTGTATGAGTGGGAGCAGGGCTTTAACCAGTCCTTCAACCAGGAGCAGGTAGCAGGTGTGTGGTGATTCTATTCTCCTGTGTTGAATTTATGGAAAAATTAGGATTTCATGTTCTTAATGTGAGGTTGGGTCAAAAAAGTCTGGAATAGAAAATGCACAATTCACTTTTTTAAACGGGAAACTGCACTCACATTGGTTTACGTAAGACACAATGCTGACACAATTGCTTATTGTTCTAGCTTGCTTGTATCTGTTGTATGGGATTAACAATCACTGCATTATAGTAATAGACATAACAGACCTTTATAGTCATTTTGATTAATTGTGCATAAGACAGTTGCTTGATATAGTACTGTGATTTCTCTGTAGACATTGATGGTCAATATGCCATGACCAGAGCCCAGAGAGTCCGGGCGGCCATGTTTCCTGAGACTCTAGATGAGGGCATGCAGATACCTTCCACACAGTTCGACTCTGCCCACCCTACCAATGTCCAGCGCCTGGCCGAGCCCTCACAGATGCTCAAGCATGCCGTGGTCAACCTCATTAACTACCAGGATGATGCAGAGCTGGCCACCCGCGCCATTCCAGAACTCACCAAACTACTGAACGATGAGGATCAGGTTAGAACGGATGGTTTGTCAAGAACAGCCAGTGCTGTGACACTGTCAGAGTGCGCTAATGGCTCGATTTCTACTTTTTCCATCAGGTGGTGGTAAATAAGGCAGCTGTGATGGTGCACCAGCTCTCAAAGAAGGAGGCCTCTCGTCACGCCATCATGCGATCCCCACAGATGGTGTCAGCCATTGTGAGGACCATGCAGAACACTAGTGATGTAGAAACGGCACGCTGCACCTCCGGCACCCTGCACAATCTTTCCCACCACAGAGAAGGCCTGCTCTCCATCTTCAAATCGGGAGGCATTCCTGCCCTTGTCAAAATGCTTGGGTTGGTTCTTCATGTTCTCTATTTCTAAACAGACAAATATCGATCATCATGCGGATCTACAACCATGGCCAAAAGTTTTGAGAATGACACAAATATTAATTTTCACAAAGTCTGCTACCTCAGTTTTTATGATGACAATTTGCATATACTCCAGAATGTTATGAAGAGTGATCAGATGAATTGCAAAGTCCCTCTTCACCATGAAAATTAGCTTAATCCCAAAAACATTTCCACTGTATTACAGCCTTGCCACAAAAGGACCAGCTGACATCATGTCAGTGATTCTCTCATTAACACAGGTGAGTGTCGATGAGGACAAGGCTAGAGATCACTCTGTCATGCTGATTGAGTTAGAATAACAGACTGGAAGCTTTAAAAGGAGAGTGGTGCTTGAAATCATTGTTCTTCTTCTGTTAACTATGGTTACCTGCAATGAAATGTGCAGATATCATTGCTTTGCACAAAAAGGGATTCACAGGCAAGGATAATGCTGTTAGTAAGATTGCACCTAAATCAATCATTTATCGGATCATCATGAACTTCAAGGGGAGAGGTTCAATTGCTGTGAAGAAGGCTTCAGGGCACCCAAGAAAGTCCAGCAAGTGCCAGGACCATCTCCTAAAGTTAATTCAGCTGCGGGATCCAGTGCAGAGCTTGCTCAGGAATGGCAGCAGGCAGGTGTGAGTGCATCTGCACGCACAGTGAGGCCAAGACTTCTGGAGGATGGCCTGGTGTCAAGAAGGGCAGCAAAGAACCCACTTCTCTCCAGGAAAAACATCAGGGACAGACTGATATTCTCAAAAAGGTACAGGGATTGGAGCTGAGGACTGGGGTAAAGTCATTTTCTCTGATGAATTTTCTGATTGTTTGGGCATCTTGAATAAAGCTTGTCCGGAGAAGAAAAGGTGAGTGCCTCCATAAGTACTGTGCTATGCCAACAGTAAAGCATCCTGAGACCATTCATGTGTGGGGTTGCTTCTCAGCCAAGGGAGTGGGCTCACTCACAATTTTGCCTAAAAACAAAGCCATGAATAAAGAATGAACAAAAAGTTCTCCCAACCATCCAAGAATAGTTTGGTGATAAACAATGCCTTTTCCAGCATGCTGGAGCACCTTGCCATAAGGCAAAAGTGATAATTAAGTGGCTCGGGGAACAAAACAACAACATTTTGGGTCCATGGCCAGGAAACTCCCCAGACCTTAATCCCATTAAGAACTTGTGGTCATTCCTCAAGAGGCGGGTGGACAAACAAAAACCCACAAATTCTGACACGCTCCAAGCATTGATTATGCAAGAATGGGCTGCCATCAGTCAGGATGTGGCCCAGAAGTTGATTGGCAGCATGCCAGGGCGAATTGCAGAGGTCTTGAAAAAGAAGGGGCAACACTGCAAATACTGAGTCTTTGCATAAACTTATTGTAATTATCAATAAAAGCCTTTGACACTTATGAAATTCTTGTAATTATACTTCAGTATACCATAGTAACATCTGATAAAAAGATCTAAAAACACTTTAGCAGCAGACTTTGTGAAAATTTATATTTGTGTCATTCTCAAAACTTTTGGCCACGGCTTTATATCCTGTGAATCTTTTGAGTCAGGGTAATTGTGTTGTGTTGGAATTCAAGGACTAGCAGGCTGAGTCATACTTCGACCTGCTCTGTGTGCTTAAGCTTGAGTCCCATTATTTATCTATGGCTCTAATTAATATTGCTGTGGTCTCTTCAGTTCCCCAGTGGACTCCGTACTGTTTTATGCCATTACAACTCTACACAACCTCCTACTGCACCAGGAAGGAGCCAAGATGGCTGTCCGTCTGGCCGGAGGCCTGCAGAAAATGGTAGCCTTGTTAAACAAAACAAACGTCAAATTCCTCGCCATCACGACAGACTGCCTTCAGATTCTGGCATACGGCAATCAGGAGAGCAAAGTAAGAGGCAAAAGCTTCTCAAAAATAGGCACATCACAGCAGCGTTCTTGGCCAAAACCACACTTGTTTACAAATTATATTTATTTTTCAAAAATCTTGTCATCAGATCTTCTCATGTCTAGCAGTGCAACAAAATACCTGCTATATTTGGAATTGAAGTGTATTTGATAACACTATATATTATACACGATACATATTATAAATATAACACTATTTATAATAACTTATAAAGTGTATTTGATGTTTTCTTTGGCACTGGATGTCTGACTATTGTAGGGCTGTTTATTCAGATAAAAATTTAGATTAAATTTTTTTTTTTTTTTAAAGCTTTAGGTTTGCTGTGCTCTTTTGCAGAACTGCACTATTTGCCTATAATAGTAACTAACATTTATAACAATACTTACTAGTAATAATAATAAAGATATTTAAATATTTCTGAATTTCTTCGTTTTTAAATGTTAAACAATCCAGCTTTTATTCTGGTGGAGAAAAACAAAAACAAAATTCAAAGCTCCTCTTTTGTTGACAACAGCTGGTTTATAAGTGCTTTTCAGTTCAAGTTTGAGAAGATTGTTAGCGCATGCATGTTACAAGCTACCCAAAGCAGATGCAGAGATGGAGTTTGTGTGGAGCAGCAGCATTTACTCTGAACTGAGACGCTCCAAGACACTGAAAACACTAGATCATGAGCTTGATTGTAAATGTGCCACACTTCACTCTGAAACATGCAGCTCATATTTAAATCACGATCATTCCGATTTGACAATTGCACTAAGCTATAATATTAGCTTAATAGAGTATTATATAGCCCAAAAATATTACTTGTAGTACTTTGTGTATATCACTTCATTTACACAATGTCCTTAGTAATTTATTAACAAAGTTTGAGCAGTGCAGCATGGATGGTAAAATGTTAACTTGGATACATTTATAATTTAAAGTATATTTGATAATAATAAAAAAATATATTTTGCTTTTCAGCTTATCATTCTGGCCAGTGGAGGCCCACAGGCTCTGGTCAACATCATGAGGGCCTACACATATGAGAAACTGTTGTGGACCACCAGTCGAGTGCTCAAAGTGCTGTCTGTTTGCTCCAGTAACAAACCAGCCATCGTTGAGGCTGGTGAGTCCCTTTGTCTTTGGTTTACTCCAGTATAATGTAGTGGAAGGTGGGAGCTGATTTAGGATGGTTTGAACATGGAAGCTTTGTCTTGTTTTCAGGTGGCATGCAAGCACTTGGCCTTCACCTCACAGACCCCAGTCAGCGACTGGTACAGAACTGCTTGTGGACTTTGAGGAATCTCTCGGATGCTGCAACCAAACAGGTACTGATCCATTTGTCTCTTTCCTTCAGCTCTTTTATGCTGTCTTCTGTTCTTCCTACATGAGCCCTCTCTTTCTGTCTCCCCATTGTTTCCATGGAGAAGACGTCTTTAGCAGAAGTAGATGTGCAGGTAACAGTCATTCCTGCCTTTGTCTGTGACGGGGGTTAGGGCCTGTAGCCAGCTCTGACCCCACACAGTTAGGACATCAAATTGTGAAGAAAAAAAAATGGAGCATGAACGAATGCTACATTTGGTTGTAATGCCTGTGCTATGTGTACATTTCACCCAGCTGTTTTTGTGGCATCAGAATTCCTGAATTATCAAAACATTTCTGGAATGATTTTCTGTATTTAACCGTTTACCCACTCATGGTAGGCTTACAACCTCATGTAACGTGTAGTAAAATGTTACGAATGGCTGTGGCTAGTCGTGTGCGGGACTAAAAAAAAAAAAAAACAACACCTCTGGATCGAGTTTGTCATGGATGCAAATTCTGGGTTTAAATAAGTAGCGTGTCTCAACTCTGGATCCTTCTGTTCTACAGGAGGGTATGGAGGGGCTCTTGGGTACCTTGGTCCAGTTGCTTGGTTCAGATGATATCAATGTGGTGACGTGTGCTGCTGGAATCCTGTCCAACCTCACCTGCAACAATTACAAGAACAAGATGATGGTGTGCCAAGTGGGCGGCATCGAGGCCCTTGTGCGCACTGTTCTTCGTGCTGGAGACCGAGAGGACATCACAGAGCCTGCTATCTGCGCTCTCCGTCACCTCACATCCAGACATCAGGATGCAGAGATGGCCCAGAATGCAGTGCGGCTGCACTATGGGCTGCCGGTGGTGGTCAAATTGCTCCACCCTCCCTCACATTGGCCACTCATTAAGGTATGGAATTGATATGAGATCATCATTCCTGTCTTTTAGTGGCTTTCATTGTGCATCAAGAAAATAATTTTTTTTCATAAAGGTTTATTTTATTACTCTATCCTCTCCCAGGCCACAGTTGGGCTTATCCGTAACCTGGCACTGTGTCCCGCCAACCATGCCCCGCTCAGAGAGCAGGGTGCCATTCCCCGCCTGGTGCAGCTTCTGGTCAGGGCCCATCAGGACACTCAGAGACGCACCTCCATGGGTGGAACACAGCAGCAGTTTGTGGTGAGTCACGGTCACATGATCGACTGGCTTTTAAGGCAGCTGTTGTGAAATTTCATTTTGAAATTAAAATGTAATGCCCAATTTATGCTTTAATCCATTTATATATTAGCAAGAGTGTTCAGTGATTTTCTTGCAGAATAGATGTCAATGAGGTTTTCATGTGTGTTGTGTTCAGGAGGGTGTGCGTATGGAGGAGATTGTGGAGGGCTGCACTGGAGCTCTGCACATTCTAGCCAGAGACATTCACAACAGAATTGTCATCAGAGGACTCAACACTATTCCACTGTTTGTTCAGGTCAGTCACTGAGAGCTCACGTTATCTGTCTGTTATTTTGTCGTTCTTCCTATCAGTCTGTCTATTTATCTTTCGCCTTGTCGATTTATCTGGCTAATGATCTTTTTCATTTGTTTGTTCATTTGTTCTATCCTTTCTATAGTTTTTTCTATCATTCTATTTATCTTTCTTTCATTTGTTCTATCATTCTATCACGTTATCTAACATTAGTTCTATCATGTTCGATCATTGTTGGTCTTTCATTTGTTTGCTTGTTCTGTCTATTGAACTTTCATTCACTTGCTTCTGTCTATTTGTTTGTTCTGTATACTGTGCATTCTGTCTGTCCATTTGTTTGCTTGGTTTTTCTATTGTTCTACCTATCATTCCTTCTATTCTATATATTGTTCTGTCGTACTATCACCTATCAGTCATCTATCATCTATCGCTCGTTCTAATATTCTGTTATTCTATTTCTCTATTGATCATTCTTTGTTTGTTCTAGGGATGTCAACGATTATTCGATGATCGATTAATTGTCGATAAGAGATGCAATAGATTAAATTTAATTTTGGGCTGCGTGCGGCTCATGCGCAAAACACGTGCGAACGGCTGTGAGTGACGGTGAAGGTATATAAATGCATCATCATTCATTCATAATGTACAAATGAAGCTTTTAATGTGATTTAAACTTTAAAAATACATTAAAATAGAAACAACACAAAGTTCTTCAACATGGAAAGCAATAGAAATGTAGTAACTAACTGTCCAACCTCACCTGCAACAATTACAAGAACAAGATGATGGTGTGCCAAGTGGGCGGCATCGAGGCCCTTGTGCGCACTGTTCTTCGTGCTGGAGACCGAGAGGACATCACAGAGCCTGCTATCTGCGCTCTCCGTCACCTCACATCCAGACATCAGGATGCAGAGATGGCCCAGAATGCAGTGCGGCTGCACTATGGGCTGCCGGTGGTGGTCAAATTGCTCCACCCTCCCTCACATTGGCCACTCATTAAGGTATGGAATTGATATGAGATCATCATTCCTGTCTTTTAGTGGCTTTCATTGTGCATCAAGAAAATAATTTTTTTTCATAAAGGTTTATTTTATTACTCTATCCTCTCCCAGGCCACAGTTGGGCTTATCCGTAACCTGGCACTGTGTCCCGCCAACCATGCCCCGCTCAGAGAGCAGGGTGCCATTCCCCGCCTGGTGCAGCTTCTGGTCAGGGCCCATCAGGACACTCAGAGACGCACCTCCATGGGTGGAACACAGCAGCAGTTTGTGGTGAGTCACGGTCACATGATCGACTGGCTTTTAAGGCAGCTGTTGTGAAATTTCATTTTGAAATTAAAATGTAATGCCCAATTTATGCTTTAATCCATTTATATATTAGCAAGAGTGTTCAGTGATTTTCTTGCAGAATAGATGTCAATGAGGTTTTCATGTGTGTTGTGTTCAGGAGGGTGTGCGTATGGAGGAGATTGTGGAGGGCTGCACTGGAGCTCTGCACATTCTAGCCAGAGACATTCACAACAGAATTGTCATCAGAGGACTCAACACTATTCCACTGTTTGTTCAGGTCAGTCACTGAGAGCTCACGTTATCTGTCTGTTATTTTGTCGTTCTTCCTATCAGTCTGTCTATTTATCTTTCGCCTTGTCGATTTATCTGGCTAATGATCTTTTTCATTTGTTTGTTCATTTGTTCTATCCTTTCTATAGTTTTTTCTATCATTCTATTTATCTTTCTTTCATTTGTTCTATCATTCTATCACGTTATCTAACATTAGTTCTATCATGTTCGATCATTGTTGGTCTTTCATTTGTTTGCTTGTTCTGTCTATTGAACTTTCATTCACTTGCTTCTGTCTATTTGTTTGTTCTGTATACTGTGCATTCTGTCTGTCCATTTGTTTGCTTGGTTTTTCTATTGTTCTACCTATCATTCCTTCTATTCTATATATTGTTCTGTCGTACTATCACCTATCAGTCATCTATCATCTATCGCTCGTTCTAATATTCTGTTATTCTATTTCTCTATTGATCATTCTTTGTTTGTTCTAGGGATGTCAACGATTATTCGATGATCGATTAATTGTCGATAAGAGATGCAATAGATTAAATTTAATTTTGCGCTGCGTGCGGCTCATGCGCAAAACACGTGCGAACGTGACGGTATATAAATGTATCATCATTCATTCATAACTTACAAATTAAGCTTTTAATGTCAATTAAACTTTAAAAGTACATTAAAATAGAAACAACACAAAGTCCTTCAACATGGAAAGCAATAGAAATGTAGTAAAGTCATTTCCCCAGATAATTCTTTCATATCGGACTCTGCGCTTTGCAGGGTTGCGGGACACAGGACAGATAGGCTAGACTATTCATTCCTACAACTTGTTAATTCGTTACTACGACTTATTAATTTGTGGCCACTGTCCACGTTTCATTAATTTTGTTCCTTAACCCATGATTTAACTAAAATGAGGGAACAAATTAATAAATCGAACGAATTCTTAATTCATGGCCATGAAATCTTTAATTTCCCTTCCCGTCTACCTATCATTCCTTCTATTCTATATATTGTTCTGTCGTACTATCACCTATCAGTCATCTATCATCTATCGCTCGTTCTAATATTCTGTTATTCTATTTCTCTATTGATCATTCAATAGATTCAACATTCAATAAGATCGTTACTACGACTTATTAATTTGTGGCCACTGTCCACGTTTCATTAATTTTGTTCCTTAACCCATGATTTAACTAAAATGAGGGAACAAATTAATAAATCGAACGAATTCTTAATTCATGGCCATGAAATCTTTAATTTCCCTTCCCGTATGTTTATCGCAGTAAGAGATAAAGAGAAAAGTGAATGACAATAAAATAAACCTGTGAAATTAGAGGGTTAGACGGTGAGGATTTAGGAACTGTAACGATGCCTAAATATTATTGAATTTGTGGAAATTCGTGACCAACCGGCAAACCTGAACAAACACACGTAAATGTAGGCTATATGGGCTCGTACGGCATCCAAAGCATGGTTGCGATGTAACATTTTAGAGCTAGCCAGTTATTCCTCTAATAAACAAAGCTTTTATACCACAATTGTCATAATCAGAGCTTATAATTTGTAAATAAATAATTGCTGTATTCAAAACAGCAATTAAAAGGAGCCGTGACCGACACTGACTATACATTTTCCCAGAGCATTCAATGATGTCACTAAAGGCTGATGCCTCAACTAAGCCGTGTCAATTTCGTCAATGAAGACGACGACGAAACGTATTCATTCACAAACATTATTTTCTGTGACTATATGTAAGTAATAGACCTAAAATAAAAATAACTTGTTTTCATAAAAAAATAAAAAATATACCAAATATGACTTAAGGACTTATTTTGGATATATATAAGGTACAGTACATGCCAAATTTTCTCAAGGAAAAAACTCAACTAATGCTAAAAAATATACTTCCCACTGGTCGCTCTTTTGCGACTAACTTACTCAGTTGGTCGCACGAGCACATGATTTGGTCGCATTTTTAAAAAATTTTTTGCTACAACATGATGAACTTATCATAGTTTATAGATGTATGGAAATGAAAGTGGTTAACATTCAACCTGTTCTTTTTCTTCAGTATTTGTGATTGTAATTTTGTGAACGGGAGTTCCTCTTTTGCTGTGTTATAAGCAGGGCTTCGGATGCTTTCACTTTCGAATTCGCGACCTTGTCACGTTTTACAAGAAAAGATAGTCTATCTAGGCAGCTGTCTCTGTATCGATATTGTTTCACGTGTGCAGCAGTGGACGGCGCTTAATTAAAAAATATACTTCCCACTGGTCGCTCTTTTGCGACTAACTTACTCAGTTGGTCGCACGAGCACATGATTTGGTCGCATTTTTAAATTTTTTTTGCTACAACATGATGAACTTATCATAGTTTATAGATGTATGGAAATGAAAGTGGTTAACATTCAACCTGTTCTTTTTCTTCAGTATTTGTGATTGTAATTTTGTGAACGGGAGTTCCTCTTTTGCTGTGTTATAAGCAGGGCTTCGGATGCTTTCACTTTCGAATTCGCGACCTTGTCACGTTTTACAAGAAAAGATAGTCTATCTAGGCAGCTGTCTCTGTATCGATATTGTTTCACGTGTGCAGCAGTGGACGGCGCTTAATTTGAATACAAGAACAACGTTTAAAATTGAGTAGAAGTGTGAGGTTTCTAAAAAATAATGAATAGAGCATAATATATAGGCTACAACAAGGTTTAATCTGGCCGCAGAGGAGCACAACTGGGTTGCCTGATATAAAGAGACGTAATCCCCGAAACAGAGCCTCCCACTTGCGCAATACGGAAATATCTGCTAAGTGTGCTACTTATCTTTGTCAACCTGGCACGCACTCTCTCTCCACTGAGGATAAACGCGCTTGCTTTCTGAAAACACCGGTTAGCTTGCAGTTTAGCGATCTCCACTTCAATATTCTATTCTCAGAAAAGTGTAATTCATCAAGTGTTCATTTATGAGAGAAAGAGAGAGAAAGGCTGTGTATGTATAATTTGCCACCGTTTTGCCGCATTTCTATATTAACAGTGAAGCTGTGGCTTTAATTACGTTAGATACAATGATGTTGCCAGCTCCTTGTGGAGAAAGATAATGTAGCTCTTGAGTGATTAAGCTATTTAGTTGATAAAATTGCGGGGGCAGCGCTAAAAAGTTTGTTCCTGAATGTCTGAGTGCAACGTGATCTGTGTGAGTGACTGAGCGTGTGTGAGTTAGATACAGAAGACAGAGCATTAGTTTAGAACTCTTCTTATTTTTATTTTTTTTAACTTAGAGATTGTGTTAATTTGTGCAATGATAACCTTTTTTAATGTATTAGAATGAGTACATTACAATATAAATTTATCAGAACGAGTGCATTATTTATGGGCTTAAAAACAAGATGCAAACAATCAGAATATTGTACCTGGTGGGGAGTGCAAGTCACAGGGCAGGGTTCACAATGTTGTGTTCTTGTGTCCTTTATCTGTTTTGTGTCCTCCTGAATGTTTGTACACGTGCGATCTCCGATCTTACAAACCAAAATAATAGACATGATTTTCTCAGGCCACATGTAAAATCATATTATTAATCAAAATTATTAAAATGAATGTATGGACGACAGTTGATTACAATGACAGTTCAGTTTATTCCCCTGATTATTAATAGTTTCCCCTGTGGGATAAATAAAGTTAATAGTCTTATATTAGTAGCCTAATACATTAACATTGTATATATTATTTATTAATAATACAATAACATTGTTTTATATTATCCCTTTTATAGTATTATGCATAAGTCAAAAACCAACAAGATTTTTTTTTTCACCATGTTTCCAGTTTTCTGCCTCAGGTCCAAAAGAAATGTAAAGAATCTACAAACTGAAAACATTAAATACTTTTGTGATCTATTTTCATTAGTTTATTTTCAAAAGGGAACTACTGACATGTTTACAGAGCAGAGGTCACCTTTTTAATTCCAATTGGAGAGAGAGACATTTGTTTGTCTTTATTATTATTATTTTGTGCTGTATTATTGGTTACTGTGTTATTTCTGTTTCTAAAGGCAGCAATAAATAACACTTTATCTAAAGAGTGTCCATGTGATTTTAGACAATAATAATTGTGAAATTAATAAATGCATAATAATCGTCATAATCGTGATTATTTCTCCGACAATAATTGTACCAACAAAATCTATAATCGTTGCATCCCTAGTCAACTGCCTGCTCTGCCAATAGTTAGAAATTGCACTATAGTGTGCTGTTTAATAAACAGCTGTTTTACTAAATTCTGCTGAGGTGAAATTCAGTGCAGTCCTGTATTGTGATACGTATCGTATCGTGACTTTGCTGGTGATACACAGCTCTAGTATTTGCATTACTGTAAGGGTAGGTTTAGGGTTGTGGTAGGTGTAGACCTTAATAAACCATAATTTTACAGGTAGCATTTTTCGTTGTCGAATTGTACTACACTAATGATGTTTTAATGGGAGGTAGCAAAATCTGATAGGGTAGCACAAATCGACAGAACACTGGTGCCTCGCACGCGCACACACCCCACATATTCTAGCAATTCAAACTTACATCGCAGTCTGTTTATCATCAAAATAAAATAGTCACCCAAACATATAAAAGGTTGCACTGGTCAGTTTAAATAGACCGGAGTATACCGGTCCACTCTGCTGTTATGCCAAGGACGTTTTTGCTCCAGTGAAGAGGCAACGCTGATGATCTTTTCCGTTTATATGCGAATGCATGTAAAGTACAAGTCTAGTTTGCATTATTTATAATAGTTTAACATTCAAATACATTGCGAGTATGGAAACATTTGGATTTGTGCCGAATGAGACGTGAGCAATAACCTCCAAATACATCTAGCCAAAACCGTCCTCGTATGCACGCACGCATGCACTGTCACGATCTAATGCGCTGTAAATGCTGGATTTTTAAAAACAAATAGGCCTACCGGAACGCAAAAATAAAACAAACTGACATTTTCCCGAACAGGATCCAGCAGGATCAAATTAAATACTGGTCATAATACTTACATAAAAATGTTTGACGTGAGCAACAGTGTGTTTTGCTGCAGCAGTGCCGATGGAAGCGGTTCACTGACTGCGCAGCACAGCTACACGTGCCACAGTTACGTTTGGGATAATTTTATTTTAAATGCCATAATGTCAGTTAAAAACATTGCAATTGTGTTTTAAAATACAACAACGAGCACCACGAAACTGGAGAGGCGCGTTCAGTGGTCTCCGTGCCGGGATAGGAAACAAAGTAAAATGATCTCAAACGTATGGCATACTCTCTTAATTTTATCAAATGATCATAATCACATCTATTCATTTTACAATCCTGCTACTAGCATTTTATTCAGACTAAAACCCCTTTAATTTGGGTGAAAAAAGCTTCTTTTTTTTTCTTTTCTTTGAGTGGCTTTTGCACATCCTGTCATGCCGGTAACTGCGTGCCACTGCAATAAGACGCATTTTGCAGCATGAAGGTTAACGATTAATAGATAGATTAATCGTTCATTTAAACGACGATCGATCATGGAAATGATCGAAAATTGACATCCCTAGTTTGTTCTATCGTTCCAGTTATCTATCCTTCATTCGGTCTTTTATTCATTCTATCTGTCTACTGATCTGTCTATCTTTCACTTGTTAACTTGTTTGTTTTCTATCGTTTGTTCTGATTATTATTCTGTCGGTCTGCTTTTCATTGTTTTTTTTTTCGCTGTTGTATTCTATTTATCTTTAGATTGTTCACTTTCTTGTTCATTTTGCCTATCATTCTGAAGTTTTATCTATCACTGTTACATTGTCTTTTTTAGTGAATTGAGTAAATTAAAGTGTGGATGACTCTTGTATCCTTTCATTAAGTTGGTGCTATATTTACATCTTCTGAACTTAGACCCAATGTCAGTCTGTCTGAAATGTCTTTCTCTGCAGTTGCTGTATTCTCCCATCGAGAACATCCAGCGTGTAGCTGCAGGTGTACTGTGTGAGCTGGCTCAGGATAAGGAGGCAGCTGAGGCCATCGAGGCAGAAGGAGCCACCGCTCCTCTCACAGAGCTCCTCCACTCTAGAAACGAGGGTGTTGGTGAGTGCGCACGCCCCATTTTAATAAGCAGCACATGTGCAAGCACGACCGCCACACAATAATGCAGAAAGACATCAGTTAAATATAATGGCAACACACTGTCTCACTGCCTACTGATGTCTCAAAGTTTGAAGAAACAAGTTAAACTTCCACAGAATAAACGCAGAGAAGCAAGCATGAATACAGAACACTATGCAGATTTGTTTTCCCAGCTATGCACGGATTTCCACTGGAGGCAGTGGCTGGGGTGAGCAGGGCTGGCTTGAATGTTTTCTCGGTCACTCACGTTGCTATCTCTCGCCCACAGCTACGTACGCTGCTGCAGTTCTGTTCCGTATGTCTGAGGATAAGCCCCAGGACTACAAGAAACGACTGTCTGTGGAGCTCACCAGCTCTCTGTTCAGAACTGAGCCCATGACCTGGAACGAGGTAAGGGGGCTCATCTCTGCTAAATCCTGCAATCAACGCTGGCACAGAGCCCTGTTGTAGATTAAGCCTATAAATTCCCAGCGCATTACAGAATCAGTTATGCCAGGTGTGGGTGTTATATTTGTGAATTTATTGGGCAGGTGATTCTTTCTAACCAAAGTATTATTGTTTTTATGAGCCTCAAGCACTTTGAAAGCATTAGTATAACTGATTCAGTCCTGATATACGCTGAATTTGAGGCTGAAGTGAGAGTTTCTCTTATGCAACTCTTGCTTGCATATCTTTGCAGACTGGAGATCTAGGGCTGGACATCGGTGTGCAGGGAGAGCCTCTGGGCTACAGACAGGACGGTAAGTTCATTATCAGAAATGAGATCAGCTCTCAGCATCTGGGTGTGAATACTCACTAATCCACTGCTTCATCAGCCTTCACCCACCAAACCTAGAGACGAACACACCTGGCACGTTCCATGAAGACAGGGCACTAAATAAGTCTTGAAACTCTTAAAGGATTAGTGGACCAAAAAAACAAAAATGGAAATTGTTGTTCATGCACCCCTCATGTTGTTCCGAAACTGAGACTTTCTCAAGAAATGAGATGTTAAGCATAATGTTAGATCTGACAGCTTTAGTCATCATTCACTTTTTCCCTTTTCTATGCAAAGAAAGTGAATAGTGACTTCATTAATTCTGCTTAAGATTTTTCGTGGTTTATGAAAAAAAAAAATCAGTCAGAGTTTGGAACAACATGAGACTGACTGAATTTTCTTTTTTTCATGTTTCGTGTAAACACAACATGCAGTTTTTATTATTAAGGGAAAACAAAATCCAAAACTACATGACCCTGTGTGAAGAAGTGTTTGCCCCCCTGTTAAAACTGTGGAAAGTTTGAAGAAACAAGTTAAACTTCCACAGAATAAACGCAGAGAAGCAAGCATGAATACAGAACACTATGCAGATTTGTTTTCCCAGCTATGCACGGATTTCCACTGGAGGCAGTGGCTGGGGTGAGCAGGGCTGGCTTGAATGTTTTCTCGGTCACTCACGTTGCTATCTCTCGCCCACAGCTACGTACGCTGCTGCAGTTCTGTTCCGTATGTCTGAGGATAAGCCCCAGGACTACAAGAAACGACTGTCTGTGGAGCTCACCAGCTCTCTGTTCAGAACTGAGCCCATGACCTGGAACGAGGTAAGGGGGCTCATCTCTGCTAAATCCTGCAATCAACGCTGGCACAGAGCCCTGTTGTAGATTAAGCCTATAAATTCCCAGCGCATTACAGAATCAGTTATGCCAGGTGTGGGTGTTATATTTGTGAATTTATTGGGCAGGTGATTCTTTCTAACAAAAGTATTATTGTTTTTATGAGCCTCAAGCACTTTGAAAGCATTAGTATAACTGATTCAGTCCTGATATACGCTGAATTTGAGGCTGAAGTGAGAGTTTCTCTTATGCAACTCTTGCTTGCATATCTTTGCAGACTGGAGATCTAGGGCTGGACATCGGTGTGCAGGGAGAGCCTCTGGGCTACAGACAGGACGGTAAGTTCATTATCAGAAATGAGATCAGCTCTCAGCATCTGGGTGTGAATACTCACTAATCCACTGCTTCATCAGCCTTCACCCACCAAACCTAGAGACGAACACACCTGGCACGTTCCATGAAGACAGGGCACTAAATAAGTCTTGAAACTCTTAAAGGATTAGTGGACCAAAAAAACAAAAATGGAAATTGTTGTTCATGCACCCCTCATGTTGTTCCGAAACTGAGACTTTCTCAAGAAATGAGATGTTAAGCATAATGTTAGATCTGACAGCTTTAGTCATCATTCACTTTTTCCCTTTTCTATGCAAAGAAAGTGAATAGTGACTTCATTAATTCTGCTTAAGATTTTTCGTGGTTTATGAAAAAAAAAAATCAGTCAGAGTTTGGAACAACATGAGACTGACTGAATTTTCTTTTTTTCATGTTTCGTGTAAACACAACATGCAGTTTTTATTATTAAGGGAAAACAAAATCCAAAACTACATGACCCTGTGTGAAGAAGTGTTTGCCCCCCTGTTAAAACTGTGGCCTGATTACTGACACACCTGTTCGCAATCAAGATATCTCTTAAATAGGACCTGCCTGACAAAGTGAGTAGACCAAAAGATCCTCAAAAGCTAGACATCATGCCGAGATCCAAAGAAATTCAGAAACAAATGAGGAAGAAAGTAATTGAGATCTATCCATCTGGAAAATGTTATTAAGCCATTTCTAAAGCTTTGGGACTCCAGCGAACCACAGTGAGAGCCATTATTCACAAATGGCAAAAACATGGAACAGTGGAGAACCTTCCCAGGAGTGGCTGGCCGACCAAAATTACCCCAAGAGCACAGCGATGACTCATCCAAGAGGTCACAAAAGACCCCACAACAACATCCAAAGAACTGCAGGCCTCACTTGCCTCAGTTAAGGTCAGTGTTCATGACTCCACCATAAGAAAGAGACTGGGCAAAAATGGTCTGCATGGCAGAGTTCCAAGACGAAAACCGCTGCTGAGCAAAAAGAACATAAAGGCTCGTCTCAGTTTTGCCAGAAAACATCTTGATGATCCCCAAGACTTTTGGGAAAATACTCTGTGGACTGACGAGACAAAAGTTGAACATTTTGGAAGGTGTGTGTCCCATTACATCTGGCGTAAAAGTAACACTGCATTTCAGAAAAAGAACACAATACCAACAGTAAAATATGGTGGTGGTAGTGTGATGGGCTGGGGCTGTTTTGCTGCTTCAGGACTTTAGGTGAGGCACCAAGACACCCAAACACGCACTCGATGCGAATGGCCGGTTGTTTGATCTGTGCTGACCGCACTGTGTGTAGGAGATTTGAAAGGCTGGAGTAAAGCACGCCAGTAGCAGAACTAATCTGAGCTGCATATGAATTCATTACAGTCCTGTATGTGTGCGCGTGTTTCTCCTCTTTAATCAGATTTTAATCTGTTTGTCCCCTCTCTTCTCTCTGCTGCAGCTGTATCGTCTGATCTGAATGAACCTGCATTGTGATTTTTGGCCTGTAGAGTTGCTGAGCGGGCTCAAGAGAGTGGGCTAGTTTCTCTGAAAGTGCCTGACACACTAATACATGCGGAGTTTCCTATGGGAACACATGGAAGTAAAACTTTTGTTCTGGTCTTGGTCGGTCAGAATTTGGTGTGATTGACAGAAGAAAGCCCAAAAAGCAAATCCTAAGATGGAATTTTCAACCTTAGCCTTGCCTGTACTTTTTATTACTTTTTATTTTTCAAAGGATTATTTCAGTCTGTAATGATACTTATCTAGCTTGCTTTATGATACTCGTCTTTTGTTTTGCAGAACTTTGTATTCCTTTCGACTGTCTCTTTTTCTCTCTCATAGTGTTGAGTTATAGTGGTAATGATCCATCAAGAGTTTATGGTGTAGAACACTAATTAATCAGTTGAATTGTAACATTGTGTAGCTTTTGTATAAAACCAAGAATTGGAGAAGTCCAAATATCAGTTCTCTTGCTTTAAAGAAATCACAAATGTTCCAAAGGGTTTGCATCCAGTTGGGGCCAGTTTTGACTTTTTTTCCTCCTCGTCTTGATCTATTTTTTTGATGGTAGCTTTAGAAAGGTTTTGAAAAGAACCCCTAATTATTGTAGCCTGCAATTGTTGGTTGGAGACTTGGTAATGACCTGGCTAAACAATAAAATGGACTTTAAATTTATCCAATTGTGGACATTTTTATTTTTTGAAATACACAATGTGAACTAAGTGGTACAATCATTCTAGAATTACAGAGTATATTTTACAATCACTATCACAAGAGTTCAACATAAATTACATTTTGCAAGAGACTAAGTCATAGTAACATACAAATGAAAAGTATGAATATATATCCACATTAAATACCAGGCGTGGAACTCTGTTCTGTGGATCTGAGTTCTGCCTGGGACCCGGTGCCCTTCAGAATCTCTGCAGCTAGTGATTCCACTGCCATGTCTGATTGGGATCTGGAACAAAGAGAAAGTGTTTGGAATATTCTGTGTTTTTTGTATTCCAAAACAAACAGAAATAGTTAATTTCATTAGTTCAGTAGTCCAAACATTTAAAGTACGTGTGACACATCCATTCACTTATTGCAAGTTCACAAAGCAAGTCTCAAACTCGTTGCCTTAAAGGGGTCATATGACATTGCTAAAAAGAACATTGTATTTGGTGTAATGCAATGTGTTTATGCGGTTTAAGGTTAAAAAACACATTTTCCACAATGTACATTATTGTTTCTCCTCTATGCCCTGCCTTTCTGAAACGCGTTAATTTTTATAAAGCTCTTCATTCTGAGGAAGCGAGGTGTGCTCTGATTGGCTAGCTATCCAGTGCGTTATGATTGGCTGAATACCTCAAGCGTGTGACAGAAATGTTACGCACCTTACCATACTGTGTTTCAATCATACAGTATGGTTTCCATGTGTCCCGGTGCGACAAGACAAAACCCATTACAAACGAGGCATTTGTTGCATCCAGTGGGGACATAATTACTGATAATGACTTAAACTGTGTTTTTACGTATTGCGCCACGTAAACACAAAACCATGTCTGCATTTGTGATCAGAGAAATGACAAACAATAAGCGCTACTCTACACTGCTTAAACTCGCGTTTGAATCATTGTTGGTTGGAGACTTGGTAATGACCTGGCTAAACAATAAAATGGACTTTAAATTTATCCAATTGTGGACATTTTTATTTTTTGAAATACACAATGTGAACTAAGTGGTACAATCATTCTAGAATTACAGAGTATATTTTACAATCACTATCACAAGAGTTCAACATAAATTACATTTTGCAAGAGACTAAGTCATAGTAACATACAAATGAAAAGTATGAATATATATCCACATTAAATACCAGGCGTGGAACTCTGTTCTGTGGATCTGAGTTCTGCCTGGGACCCGGTGCCCTTCAGAATCTCTGCAGCTAGTGATTCCACTGCCATGTCTGATTGGGATCTGGAACAAAGAGAAAGTGTTTGGAATATTCTGTGTTTTTTGTATTCCAAAACAAACAGAAATAGTTAATTTCATTAGTTCAGTAGTCCAAACATTTAAAGTACGTGTGACACATCCATTCACTTATTGCAAGTTCACAAAGCAAGTCTCAAACTCGTTGCCTTAAAGGGGTCATATGACATTGCTAAAAAGAACATTGTATTTGGTGTAATGCAATGTGTTTATGCGGTTTAAGGTTAAAAAACACATTTTCCACAATGTACATTATTGTTTCTCCTCTATGCCCTGCCTTTCTGAAACGCGTTAATTTTTATAAAGCTCTTCATTCGAGGGAAGCTAGGTGTGCTCTGATTGGCTAGCTATCCAGTGCGTTATGATTGGCTGAATACCTCAAGCGTGTGACAGAAATGTTACGCACCTTACCATACTGTTTCAATCATACAGTATGGTTTCCATGTGTCCCGGTGCGACAAGACAAAACCCATTACAAATGAGGCATTTGTTGCATCCAGTGGGGACATAATTACTGATAATGACTTAAACTGTGTTTTTACGTATTGCGCCACGTAAACACAAAACCATGTCTGCATTTGTGATCAGAGAAATGACAAACAATAAGCGCTACTCTACACTGCTTAAACTCGCGTTTGAATCGTCAGTGGCAAATTCTTTAAATATAAAAAACGTGCTTACAGGCTGTGAGTCAGAACAACCAGACTGTCCTTGCAAAGTTGGAACTGCCCCACTTTATAGAAACATTATGTCCTCTTTTGGAAGGCCAAACAAAGTAGTTTCGCTTTCACAACGATACACACAGCGGCTTGAGTGAGCGGCGCCCGGTGGATTCGACAAAGGAGGCTTGCGGAAACCACATGTGACAACCCCGGGCTGGACTCCGCTTCGTCCACGGTGAAAGTCGATCCGGCGATCCACAGCGCAAAGTTGATGTATTTCCTCAGCGACCAGCATGGATCAGCTCTAGGCATGACGAAGCGGATGATGTCCTCTTTTGGAAGACCAAACAAAGTAGTTTCGCTTTCACAACGAAAAACACAGCATCTCCATAACATGGCGGCGGCAGCAACAACAATACTACAGCGAGAATAAAAGTTACGCCTTCTTTCTTTGCGTGAACATTTGGGCGGCGTTATGCAAATCTTCCCACACAGTGACGTAGA